AACATTTAAAAAGATAATAAAAACCTCAAATATTTTATGCTGGTTCGTTGCTATAAATTGTTATTGCGCAATGTATTTAATGTTTATAAATTATGAATATTTATTATCTCAATCAAGACTCTGATAAAAAATTGTTTTACATTAATTACCCTTATAAAATTAGTAAAAGCATTTTTATTTGGTTAGATAATATTTCATCTCAATTTGCTTGGCATGAAGTTCGGGAAGTGAAACGAAAAAAATTAGTTTGAATAATCACTTTGAAATATATTCAAAACAAATTATTTTAATGACGGGGTTTAAAAGTTTTTTATAACAAATGTAGCTAAAAAAAAAGTTCAACATTAAACATCATTTTTTTATTATATTGCAACTGTAAATATTGAGATATTAACTTGAACTAAATTTATTTATTATTTAGAACAACTAAACAATAACAATAAAAAACCCCTAAAATTATGCGATATTGTGTTGTTTATTTGATAATTGCTGTTGGTAATGTTGTTTATGTTGATTATTTTCATTAGTATCAAAATAGTCCCAGATTAATCTGTTAGTTGCTTTGTTCATTGTTGCTTTATTTCTAATTTAATTTTATCTCTAAGTATAAATTTATGTTAAGAAAGAAAAGTTTTTATTTAATCGCTCGCTCTTTTTATAAAAGAGTAGAACAAAAGAGAAAGAAAAGTTTTGTGTAATTAAACTTCGAATGAATAAGAGTTGTATAGAATATATACATGTTTTTTTGCGTCACTCGTTCTTTTTTTAGATGAGAGGAATAAAAGTTTAAAACTTTTCTTTGAATAAATGAAAATTGGAAGAGAAAATTGCTTGAAAATTTGTATTTGTTGTGTTTCAAAATTTTTAAAATTTTTCATGTTAAGAGACAAATGCCAAATACAATACAAATTGGGAAATACCAAATATAATATGTTTTTTAACGCGCTTTATGGCATTTTGACAATTTAAATTACCATTTATCTTGAATTATCGCCATTAATTAATGTGTTAATTATTGTGTTATATAATAATAATTTGTCAGTATTTTTATTAAATATTAGTTGTATAAAATGGGTGAAAATATACAAACTTCATGTTTTTTATTTGATGGTTATAAGATATTGAACAGTAAACTTATAATCAAAATTTATAACGCTGACTTGTGTTGCTATTAATTGTACTTTTAATGCAAAACCAGGATCTCACATATCCTTTCAGGAATTTTCATATCTGATACTACTGTCAACTGTATTGTTTAGTGTATTCTTGTACTTTTTTTTCATAACCTTAAAACTTTTTAATTACTATGGAGTAGCCGACATTTTAAAAATTTTATTATCAAAAATAAAATGTAAAATAAAATGATATTTCCTTTTTATCCGTATCCAACTTAGCAAATTTAGCAATTTAAAATAAATCAGCGTAATCAAAAAATTTTTATAATAAAAAAAGTTACCAATTCATCTAATATCTCTAATTAATACTGTCAGTTTATGAAATTAATTTTAAATACTTTTTTTCGATGGGAAAACAAAAAATATCATAGTGCAAAAATAAACAGAGAAGTTAGAAAAAAGTTTCCATTGTTAAAATAAAAATAAGTAAGATTCAGAATATATAATACTGTGCTCTCTTGCAGAAAAACGAGCGACCATATACATAACGTTCTATATAATGTAAAACACTCATATGAAAATCAAAAGATTCGTAAGTAAAGCTTTAATATTTGTTTTAATTTAAAAACAAAAGAAATATAAGTAAGATATATAAATCTAAAAATTATTAAGATATTGGTAAAAAAAAAGTTCCTCTTATGAAATAAAAAGCTTTTATTATTTTTGATTTTTACAAAAATTTGTTGTAAAAGTTGTTTTGCTGTATGTTAAAATATATATATTTTTTAATTAAAATAGAAAAACGCAGCTTTTTTTAATTACACTTTTTTTTTGTTAAAAATCTACTGTGACATCAAATACTAAAACTTTTATGAATTAAATGCGCTTCAAAGGAATCGCTAAAGTCTGTAGATTGCGACCTATAATTTAAAGACTCAGAGTTATTGAAAAAAATGGAGAAGATGAGCTTCGGCTAAAACAACAACATTAGTTTTTCTCGGTATGCATTCATTATTTATTTTTAATCAAAAAAACTTGGTTCAAACCTTTTTTTTTAACATTATCTTTAATATGAACACAACATGTGTTGGGAGTTTGGGATCCCTTTAAAGCAATGCCAGGAGGAAAAAACTGAAAATGCAATAAATTATTTACAAGTGAAACTAAAAAAAATTTTGTCAAGCACACTCTATGGAAATGTACATTTCCATAAACTAAAAAGTGAAAAAAATATCTGGAATTCCAGAAATATCAGGAAAAAGATAACACCTGTAGAATAGGTGATATTGTAAAAAAAAATTGTTGTCAGTTGTTCTTCAATTATTGATAAAAGGTCAAATATTGTCTGCTAGATTAATATTTCAATTCTGTCAAAAATCAATCAGTAAAATCATGTTTGTGTAACTACTGTTGAAAAATTAGAGTGAGTACAAAACAAATATGACAAGAAGTTTACTTCAATCAGAAAAAAAAGTTACATGATGAAAATAATTTTGCTCTAAAATTTGGTTTGCTAAGGAAACAAAAACATGAAATTGTTAACATTAACTTTACTATGATATCCCAAATATGTTAATATATTGATATCCCAAATATGCATATTGGTAAAATAGATAGGGGAGAAGGGGGCAGCTTTGAACGGGGGCAGCCTTGAATTAATGCATTTGTGAAGAGCGCGTGTATTTAAATTTGATATATAGAATTATTTTAACATGACAATACTTATCCTCACATCTGTCACTTGAATATGTTGCCATTTGATTAAAAGTGGACAAACTAGACAATATTTTTGTTTTTTAGTACAAATTTGAAACATTTTGATAAAAGGTTGTAAGAGTTTTCTGACCACATTTTTAACAAATGTTCAACTTTATGTTATTTATTATATAGATTATTTTATTCTCTATACTATATATATTTTGTTGCTTGTAACGATGCTTTTAAAATTTAATGTTATATATATATATATATATATATATATATATATATATATATATATATATATATATATATATATACATATATATATATATATATATATATATATATATATATATATATATATATATATATATATTCTTTATTACTTTGTCAATGTTTTTTCTTAACTTTAATTTATGTTGATCTTAACTTTTACTTTTTTTTTTTCACAGTTTATATCTTAAAATTCTGATTTTTTTGCTTGTAAAGATTTTTTTTTTAATATTTGATGTTATTTATTAGGAATATTTGATACTTTGTTTAGTTAGTTAGATCAGTGGATGCTGTAAAATTTTTACATAACCCTTTTCAATTGTTACTACAGGGTGGACACAATTTTTAATGAAACTTAAATTCTCCTAATATTTGAAAGTTTCTCGATAAAATATAACTTTTGTTTGACCAACTCTTTAGAGTGATTATAAGATTAGATTGTATAGAAAATATATTTGATACTTGCTTTTTGAAACTTAAATTTAATGAAGTTTAATAATAAGTCAATTCTCTATTTAAAAAAAAGTTAACTAGTCACTAGTTTTTTCCATTTGCTAGAAAAAATTCAAATCTGCCCCATGCAAATTCAAAGCTGCCCCAGGTTGGGGCAGATTTGAACATTTTTGCGCACCTTGCTAGAACAAGAATACTGACTTAATTTTGAACTTACAATTTATATAAATGAAGCAATTTTTTTCCTTAATGATTAGTTAACTGTTTAGAACAAAAAAAGTTTTTAAAATAATTTTTTTTTGGATTTATAATAAAAAGAGTAAATAGGTGTCCCCTCTACCCTACTGTACAAATGAAAAAAACTTTATTGGTCTGGTATGGTTTTGAAATTGATATAATGAATGCACTTTCCAAGTCAGTCATACTAATGACCAAACTGAGTTGATGTTTGCTAACTTCTAAAAATGAATGTTATTTCTCTTGTTAAAACATTGTCAATGGTTTTTTGATTTAAATACTACATCTTAAAAAAAGTAATAAAGTTTTATCTGAACAGTTTTTATTTTATAGTAAAAGTTTCCCAATATTTTATTTTTATTGTTAAAAAAATGTTGTTAAAATAAAAAACATTGACTTAATAATAAAACATTGGTATTTCTTTAACTCAACAACCAGTCTAAATTTTAAAATGGCATATTTTTATTAACCATAACTTTTATACCTTTGCGTAAATTAAAAGAAAATTTGAGAGGTAACTAATTAAAAAACTTATTTACTATCGCTTTTTTTTTGTCATATCTTTAAAATTTATTCTTTATTCATCAATATGTTTTTTTTTTTTAATATGCTCTAAAACATCTTTATGTTTTAGAGCATATTTTATAAATAACTGATATTTAGATTTTATTATAAAATCAAGATATAAAATTTATATCTAATTTAGTTTTAATACAATAACAATAACAATACAACAATGCACCAATAACAATACTTCATTAACAATACTACAATAACAATAACTATTATTATATAAATTTTACATCCTAATTGTAAAAATGAATCATGATAATTAACAATATGACTAAACTGTGATTATAAAATATAACTAAATATTTTTATTAATTTATAGTAGCATACAATACGTCGAAGTGATATGCTACTAACTTAATTCACAATTTTAAACAACAATGTACCTTATTAGCTATATTTAAAATAGTAAAGATATTTTTTTTTTCATAAGTATTACAACAAATAAAATAGTAATACAATCAGAATTTTATTGTAAAAAACTCTTATTAAGTAGAATTTTTTCTGCAAATGTTAAAACTTGTTTACATAACATTTTGTTAATATTTTAATATAACTTTTTTTTTACTTCTTTTTATTCAATCTTGAAAGATTTATGTCTATAGTATAAATGTAACAAGACTAAAGTTCTACAAGAAATATTTTTTATACCTCATTTATAAATTCTTCGTTGTCTAAGCGTTTCAACTTAAAATAAGGACTGTCCATTTGTCTGTTCAAGATTTCTCTATTTAGAGTTTTTACAAAGTATTACAAATTTTAGAAAGTTTTTATTATTTACTAGCGCAATTTTTTGTTATTGTATTTATTATTTACGGTACTCCCTAATTTGCGCGCAGTTTAAGCATACCTTATATAGGACTCAATATTTTTATTTATTTCCAATTTTTTTTTAAATGTTTTCTACAAATTTCTATAGGTTAAATAATAATAATTAGTTTTTTTAATATTATATGCAATAGACGCTAATTGTAAAATATTATTTTAAATTTCAATATATTGCAATGTATTTTTAAAAAAAAACTTACACCGATTTCCAAACTCATTTTTATGATTTTATAATCTCAAGAACCTCAAAAAATCTCAAAAAGCTTTAATGAAAAAAATCAAGCGCTTCATGTTTCTTTTTGAAAATCTTAAAATCTTTTTCTTTTATTCTTCTTCTATTTTAATAATTAATTAGTTTTTAAACACAGACCTTTGATTTCCATCTTTTACACGAGTAACTTGTGATTTAAATTTGAATTGCATTTTGAAATTCGGTTTTTTTAAAACCCCATGTCTTTTTGTTATGTTTTAAATACTTTATCTCCTTTACCAAGAAATGTGTGAAAACACCCGCAATATTATTATTTTTTATCAATTTAAAATAATAAAGTTTAAATCGTTTTTTAACTTCTTTTAATATTTATTTATGAATAACTATTATAAAAACATTATTTTTTTAACACTATTTATTTTATTTTTTTTTAATATTATTACTAATATTATTATTTTTATTAATATTATTATTATTCGTTTAAGTTTTTGCAAAAATGTTAGAAATTAAATTTAAATTTTCTTAATTTTGTTTTAAATCCTATTTTAAATCTTTTTTATAAAGTGTTTCCTTTTTGACATTTTTTTTTACAATTTTATTAAATAAACACTTTAGTTTGTATTAAAAAAATGAGTTAAAAAATAATTTATAAATAAAATTTGAAAACTTTTTTAATATGCAAAATAGTATTGTTAATTTTATTTTATGTACAAAACTCGTTTCAAACATGTAAACTAGTAACGGCTCGTTGCTGGCCTTGTGTGAAAATAGATAAATGAAAAAATCATCTTTTTATATATGTAAAATTATCTTTTTGTATAACGGAAGAGTATTCAAAAAATGCGTTCGAGGCCATAAAAATGGATTGAACAGTTTTTTACTAAAATGCGCAAAAATGTTAATCAACAAAAATTATCAAAACACCCAAAAAAAATATTACAATAGAGTATTTACTATACATAAAGCATACGAAAAAGAGTATAAAATAGAACCCCCTATAAAAAAATAAAAATCAAAAAGATTATATATGAGTGGGTCAGAAGCCAAGGGGTACAAGTGACAATTTTACCAAAATTAAGTTAAGTATAGAATTTGATAGAAGAAACAAAATTGTTGGTGGCCAAGGGATACAAGTGAATCTCTGCCCTGTGCTGCTTTCTACTGGAAAAACATAACAACAGCTGAGTATATTTCAGCTGTCTTTGTCATTTTTGGAGGCCAGGGGGTACAAGTGACAAACTCTTACACTTGTACCTGTTGTGCTCCAAAGTTTTAGGTTATTGCTGAGTGTTGTTTTGCAGAAGTCAAGTGTTTGTTTCTCTGAAGTTACTATTTATAGGTTAACTATTGAAAAGTGCTATCTGGAGTTTTAACAAAACACCTTTTTTAGTATTCTTACAAGAATTGTTATTAAGGAATGTTTTAAATTTACAATCATGAGTGACTTAGACCCTGATGACCCTCTTCCTAACCTATTTGGAGGTAAGTCATAACTTTATACTGAATAATAATACTGAAATAATACGAGTACACAACAATTTTATTTTTTCATTACATTATCCTTAGGTCTAGAAGTGTTACTATAAAACAGGAATGTTTAAACAGAACTAACCTAAAATTAAATTTACCCTCATTCCAGTAAGTTTGGTTAGGTTCAGCACGTTTGATTAGGTACTAATGGGAACTACCAATATTAGTAATATGATCCCTCAAAATGCTAAAGCTAAAGCTAACCAAAACTAACAAAACTAATTAAGACATTGTACTCACTTTCTTATGACCACAAATATTTAAGTATTACCATAGTTTATTGTAATTTTATTCATTGTTATTTTATGACAGTAGTTTGAATCCTAGAAAACGAATACAAATTACGTATTAGAAAAACGTAAACAAAAAACAAAGTAAACAACTTGTCAATCGATAGTAATAATCTAACAAAATTTTCATCCAATAATATCGTAGGATGTCTGCGGAACTGCATCCCTACCAATAATTTTACACGATTCTTTTTGCTGAGATTTTCATTAGTTGTGTTTTGTTTTTCTAGATGACGATACTGATTTCGATCCAAATTATGAAGAAGAAAGTCCAGATTCTGAAAACTCTAACTCAAGTGGACATCAAAGAGACTCAAGTGGCCTTCAAAGAAATGAAGGTAGGCCTATTTTATTATTGATCGTCAAATCTCAGTATGACCTAGAAAACAATATTTTCTTTTTACCCTACACGTACACCCTTGCATAACACCTACACAATATTGTTCAATAGTTGTACCTTGATCGTTCAAACCTAAAACCTACCCTTTTTTTTTTTTTTTTTTTTTTTTTTTATAATTTAGCCGTACAAATATTTACAAGTTCCGTAATTTAAAATATTTAAAAATGGCAAGGACGAGAAGAAGACGGGGTTGTCTTATCACCAAGTCCCTTGTTTGTCTAGACATTTATATAAATACATGGTAACTAAAATGAAAATTAAAAAATTAAGAAAAAAGCAAAATATTACAAAGAAGTTTATATAAAATGCCAAATAGTTTAATAGTTCAAAGTTTTGAAAGATATTTTTTCGATTTTATTTTTTGAAAGAAAAATTTAAAAGTTCATTCAGAAAAACAAAAATATCAAAAAACTAAAAAACATGAAAAAAGTAAACGTAAAATTTAATTTACAATCTGTTCTTATAAAGTGTAATATATTAATTCCTCAAAAACAAATTACAAAATATTAATATAAAAAATTAAAACTCAAAAAAGATTACTTTTTTTATTTTTCCTCTCTCTCTCTTATTTAAGAAAGCTAATAAATTTATTTAAACTAATGAAATCTAAAAATGCTAAAAATCTTTATAAGTACTTTTTTTATAATATAACAGACTGTAATACCTATATAAAATTAAAGAATTTAGACCTTCCAGACAAATAAAGTATGCATTAGTAGATAGTTTTAAAATATAATATTTTTATAGATAGATTTAAAAATAATTATCTGTTTGTTCATTATTTAAAAGTAATAGTTTTAGTTTTTGTTTAAACTGATCAAGAGTTTTAAGTGTTTTAATATCATTACTGATTATCTTATTCCATGCATTAGGTCCTCTAACAGTTATTGAAAACTTGGTGGAGTCGTATATAGTTTTGGGTACACTAAAATAAATAAGGTATAGTTTTGGGTACACTAAAATAAATAAGGTAGTAAAAAATAACTAACATTATGCCTAGCTGTAACAAAACTAATCCTATGGTAATTTTATGGATTTCCTTTGTGTTTCTCCCTTTCCTTCCTGTTACATAGGTTCGGACAGACAAAAAAATTTGACACTAACTTTTTTTTAGATGATGAGCTCGGAGATGACCGAGACGAGCCACCACCAAAAAGAGCGAAACATCCTGGACGTAAAAAAACGAGAAGATACAACGTATGGAAAAGAAACATTACTCATAAAAAACGCAATGAAGGTGAATCTTATGTCGATAGAAAAGGTATCCACCATGAAAAGAAGCAAGTGAGAGAATTTATTCGTAATTGTAGGTTTAAGTGCAAGAGTCAGTGAAGAAGAAAGGCAAAACATTTTCAAACAATATTGGGAACTTGGAAGCTGGGAGCTCCAATCTGTCTATCTAAATTCATCAATCAAAGTAGAAGAACCTCGAAGGAAGAAAAAAACCGGACCACGATCAAAAACTTTGAGTTGCCAATTTTTTTTCCTTGACAAGAGAGTTTGCAAAAAAATCTTTCTCTGTACTCTTGATGTAACTAACAAACGAGTGACAAATGTAATTGATAAGAAGAAGAATTCTACCACTGCAATTGCTCCTAGGGACAAAAAAGGACACAAAGTTCCTGAAAATAAGATTTGTGAAGAGAAAATTGAATTTGTGAAAGAGCATATTCGTACTTTTCCAAAATACACAAGCCATTACTCTCGCACTCATGCTCCAAATAGGAAGTACCTAAGTTCCAATTTGAAAATCAAAAAGTTGTACAACCTCTACAAAGAAAGCTGCATTGAACATGCAGTAGAGCCAGTGAAAGAAAGCTACTATCGTAATATCTTTAATATTGAATTTAACCTGAGCTTTCACAAACCGCAAACTGACACTTGCATCACATGTGACAGACTTCATAACACGATTGATAATAGGCCGCCAGATGAACAAAACGAGGCTGAACGTTGCCTATTGCAACTTGTGAGTACACTGCCAACAAGAGTAAAGAAAATTACAATGTTTAGTGATAATGCAGGTGGGCAGAATAAAAGCCGCTTCACGGTAAAGTTTTGGATGTACATAGTACGTACTACACACATCGAAGAGGTGGACCACAAGTACCTATTATCTGGCCACTCGTTTAACGATTGTGACAGAAATTTTAGTACTATTGAAAGAGCCCGCAGGAATATTGGAACAGGAATATTTGTGCCAGAGCACTGGATGGATGTAACTGCTAAATCTTCCAAGAGATTTTTAGTAGTTAACATGGAAGATCAGGATTTCAATTCTTTGCAACCTTTGGAAGATTATTATGTTAAGGCAGTGACAGGTATTTGTTGTATGCAATGTTTAAAGTTTAAGAAGTCAGATCCTGACACACTCTTCTACAAGACAATTTTCAATACGGATATGCCTTTCTCTAAGTACAACATGAAGCCTAAAGAGGTTCCAACTTAACGACTTCCACGACAACTATCTGCCAAGAATGCTGCACCAGAAATAAAAGCAAGCAAGTACAAAGACTTGCAGAACTTGCTTCAGTTTATCCCACCACAATACCATGCCTTCTACAAGTCTTTGCCAGTTCAGCGAGTACGGCA